ATCCTGGGTAGTTGGCTGTGTTGTAACATCCTGAGCTTTAGTGTTGTAACATCCTGAGTTCTGTGATGTATTGTCTTGAGCAGATGGCTGTGATGCAACACAGAGATATATATATATAGCGATAGAGTGATAGATAGAGAGATAGATAGAGATAGATAGATAAATAGATAGATAGATATAGAGAGAAAAGAGAGTGTCATGAATTGGACATGATCATTGATATCAATGGAAATAATACGCACACACCAATGGTGTTATTCAGCTGGTTCTATCCGGTTCAGGCGAATCAGTAGCGGTGGTGGCGGGAGGCTCCGCCCACCCACCCGGACGTCATCACGTCCTGTTTTTGACGGAAGGTTCTGCACATGTGAGGAGGTGGCGCGTGTGAGGGAAGCAGTTTGCAAACTGATAGCGAAGATAAGTGAATACTACACCTGGCACACACACACACACACACACACACACACATACACACACACACAAATCTAGTAGAGAAAGAAGGGTGGATAAGAGAGGTGGCCTCAGAGAGGCTGATCAAGATGATTGCAGATGATCCAAGAGGAGAGAGAGTGAGAGAGAGAGAGAGAGAGAGAGATATTCATCCCTCCTCTATCAATGGCGTCTTCTATCATGTCATTTCCCCAGTCAGGAAAAGTGAGGAGTGGGGGGAGGAGGAAACAAAATACATGGATATAGTTGGATGGAAGAGTTAGGGGAGAACACCCTGCTGGTGTAACACCCTCCCCTCTTAAGTTTCCGGAGAAAGGCTTAGCCTCCCTGTCCTAGCCCAGCCCGCCAAAGTTGGATGCAGCCTCAACGCTTCAGCAGCGAGAAAGATTAAAAAGGACTGGCTTTGAATCTGGCCCCCCTCTCCCCTCCCCCAAATAAAGATTAAGGCCGTTTTCTTTCAGTGGTGGGTTAGTGCATTTCTCTCTCGGCGTAATCTTAAGGAAGCAGCACATTTATCCTGCGAAAGAGTCATAAGCCTTGAATTAGGGATATACATTTGAATGAGCTGGTGGGGTGGGAGGGGGGAGGGAGGGAGGGAGGGAGGGGGGGGAAGGGGCTGGAGAAAGGGGTGGGCAGATAGCTTTTCAACCCCAAGAATCATGCTTATCCCCACATTGGGGATGGCTGAAGACAGGGCTACGACCATTCGCCACGGCCATCTCGCCACAGAACCAGAGTTACACTAATATCGAAAAAATAGTCCAGTAGAATAGCTATAGCATTTAGATTTATAGACTGCTTCACAGTGCCTTTCCAGCCCTCTCTAAGGGGTTTACAGAGTCAGCCTACGCCCCCCAACAATTTGGCTCCTCATTTTATCCACCTCAGAAGGATGGAAGACTGAGTCAATCTTGAGCCGGTCAGGATCGAACTCCTAGCAGTGGGCAGAGTCATTGTGCACCCACATACGGATTGCTATCTGCAGCCTGAAGGAGGGTTGTATTTCAGGATCTGGGACCTGATTCACAGATCACAGAAATTCAACGGGTGTTTCCCCAAAAACTGTTCATTAGAAAATCTTCTCAAACTTCTCAAAGATTGGTTGGGAAGTCCCTTCCTTCAGCACCAATGGAACTTTGTTGAACTGACCGTCATAATTCAAGGACTGCCTGTCTTGTAAAAATAATACCACAGAATGATCTTGTCAAACTTTGAGTTGTAAAGTCCTTTCCTTCAGTGCCGTCGTAACTTCAAACAGTCGCTGAAGAAACGGTCATAACTTGAGGATGACCAATATTATAAAAATGATCTCACGGAATGATCTTATCAAACTTTGAGGACTGATCGTAAATCCCTTCCTTCACCACATTCATAACTTTGAATGGTTGCTGACTGAGCAGTTGTAACTGGAGGACAACCTGACAATATCTTTACATCATCATTTCAACAAATTACCATTGGCAATTTCATTGATTTTCATCTCCATAGGAATCCTTTGGGAGACTTTTGAATATATTGTAGTACACCTGGCACTCTTAAGTCAATTAAATATCCTTGCCCTTGTCTTAACTCTGCCTGCAGCTCCTGAAAAGCCTAAACCCCATCCAACCATCCTTGTCTTCTTCTCACAATACCAAACCCAGATGCTCCATCTTCTGGGAAAGAGACCAGAGATCCAATCCCTGCAACAAGGGATTAAAACTCTTAACCTTGGTTCCATCTCCAGAGCTTCTGGGCTCGTTTCCTGATGGTGAGAATAAGAGAAGAACAAAAGGGACTTTGGAGGCCAACCCCATGCCATTGCATGCCAAAAGCAGGAGGTCGCACGGGGGTCGCACGCATGCCCGCGTGCCCACACCCATAATTCAATGCACCCCATCCCCACGCATGCACATGTGACCCCCCCTGTGCTCCCCCCGCTTTTGGCATGTGATGGCACGGTGTGTCAGCACTTCAACCTGCATTTACTCTAGTGCTGACATAAGAAGGAGAAGAGGGGGCAGCTGGCAAGAGGACGCTTGACTTCTCACCTACTTATTTTCCTTGAAGATAATATCCCCTAGGAGATGAGATGGGAGGGGGGACATTCCTGGGAGCTGAAGTAATAGATATGGGGAGAGTATTTGGAAGAGGGCCAATGAGACACGGAGAATTGGGGAACGGAAAGGGAAGGTTGGGGGGGTCAGGAAGTCAGAGTTGGCTATGCCACGATCGGGGACAGGTTGTCATGCTTAATAAAATGAAAGATTTTACCAAAGACTATTTGTTTGGAAATGCAATTTATTTTATTTGAGATGACATCGAAACCTGACATGGTGGGCCTGGTAGGCCCATTTTTTGCCCTCCCCAGGCTCCAGAGGCTTTCTTGGAGCCTGGGGTGGTGGTGGTGAAAACAGCCTTCCCCCCTGCCCCGGAGGCCCTCTGGAGGCCAGAAACAGCCCGTTTCCCGACTTCCGGTGGGACCCGAAGGCTCAAAAATCGGTTGGCCAGCTCGCGTGCCCATAGATATACAGTAGCTCTGGGTGCTACCTGCCATAGATTCGCCATAGTATTCTGGAGAAATGTCTGTCCAATCTCTTCTTGAAGATCTCCAGCGATGGAGCACCCACCACTTCTGGTTATCCAATCTCCTCTTAAAATCCTCCAGTGTTGGAGCATTCGCAACTTCTGGAGGCAAGTTGTTCCACCGGTTAATTGTTCTCACTGTCAGGAAGTTTCTCCTTAGTTCTAGGTTGCTTCTCTCCTTGATTCGTTTCCACCCGTTGCTTCTTGTCCTGCCTTCAGGTGCTTCGGAGAACAAAGTTGACCCTCTCCCTCTTCTCTGTGGCAGCCTTTTGTGGTGGCAGAGTCTCCATTGCGTTTCTTGCACACTTGGCCACCTCGTTTGCACGCTCCCCTCCCCCACACCCCCCTGTAAGCCCACGCGTGCGCTCAGGCACATATCGAAGGCCGGGAACCAGGTCGGTCTGTTTGCCAGCAGTGAATTTTCTCTGTGTTTATCCCCTGGAGGGGCTGTTTTGTGGGTTTATTGACTAAATAACGGTATTGATTTGTTAAGAGCTTTTCCACTTCCTTGCCATGGGAGGTATTGTTATGCCTATCCTCTCTCCTGCACACCAGGGGAGACGTTCCGTTTTAGTGACACCATAAATTTCCATCCTGGCTTTGTAAACAAGTGTTGGCTTGTCCATTGGGGTTAATTTGGCCTTGAGAAACGTTCTGATGATCCCTCTTGAGCGGGATCTGGAAAGTCGGGCGGCCGCTCCCAAGGAAACCTCAAGCGAAGGCACCTTCTATCTCCACGCCACTTTCTCTCCGGCGATGACCTCAGTCGGTTTTTGATCTGGTTCCTGCAAGCTTTGGAAAGAAATTAAGCAATTCCTTCCCACCCACCCACCCCTTCCCCATTTCCATCCTTTCAGGAGTTTGGGGTGGGAACCCAAAGCCCCCTTCCTTGTCCTCTTTGTTTATAGGTTTCCCTGTTTTTTCACCCAAAAAATTTCTCTGATTAATCCAGGAATTGGGAGAACACAAAGATGGCGCTGGCTTTTATCACAGGTGGGGGGGGGGAGGAAGATGGGTTTCCTAGAGATCATCCGGACTGAACCCCAGCTCATTGGAAGTCGGAATACAGGTGCTTGCAAATAAAGGGTCAGGGTGATTTGGCAGTCTGCTCTTTGAACTCAATAGTAGGTAGTCCTCGTTTTGCAACGGTTCATTTAGTGACCGAAGTTACAAAAGCACTGGAAAAAAACGATTTATGAACGTTTTTCACACTGACGGCTGTTGCAGCCTCCCCCAGGGTGACGTGATTTACATTTGGGTTCTTGACTTACATTTATGACGGTTGCAGTATCCCGAGGGTCACATGAACTCCTTTTGTGACCTTCGGAGAAGCAAAGCCCATGGAGAAACCAGATTCATTTCACAGCCGTGTTACTGATTTAACAGCTGCAGTGGTCCAGTTAACCACTGTGGCAAGAACAGTCATTAAATGGGGCACAACTCTCTTAACAACCATCAACAGAAATTTTGGGCTCAGTTGCGGTCATAAGTCAAGGACTACCTGTTTGTCTTTTTTTTTTTGTTTTCTCCTTCGCTTCCTTCCTCCCTCCCTTCCCCCCCCCCTTCCTTCCCTCTCCCTCTCTCTTCTTCTTCTCTCTCAGCTCCTTCTCTCCCTCCCTCCCTCCTTCCTTCCTTCCTTCCTTCCTCCCTCCCTCCCTTCCTCCCTCCCCCTTTCTTTCCTTCCTTTCTTCCTTCCTTCCTTCCTTCCTTCCTCTTATTTCCATCTCCTTCCTTTCCTCCCTCCCTCTTTTCTTCATCTCTATCAGTTCCTCCCCTCCCTCCCTCCCTCCCTCCCTCCTTCCTTCCTTCCTTCCTTCCTTCCTTCCTTCCTTCCTTCCTTCCTCCCTCCCTCCCTCCCTCCCTCCCTCCCTCCCTTCCCCATTGTTTTGTTTAACATGTTCCCCCTTTCTTTATGAAGAGGAGGGAAGGAAATCAACCCCCATGAGCTGCAGCAAATCTAACGTGGGAAAAAGTCAATGTGACTCAGCAGTTCCTGTGTTTATTTATATGCGGTTATTTATTTTTTAATAGCATGGCTAAGCCTCCGCTTTGTTGTGATTCTGCCCCTGGATCGCTGGGCTGCTTGCAAATGTTGATGAAGCTTCGGAAGGGAAGACAAAGGACAGAGACAAGTCACGGGGAAGACACGCACGACGAGGGAGAGCCTGAAACACTGCGATCCTTTATTTAAATCCCTTGGACCCTTTTCTTCAATCAAAACGATTCCCAGCGTGATGTCTTAAGATCAATAAAGACAAAAGAGCTTAAATCCTCCAAGTAGGGATGGGAAAAGAAGCAACTTACAAGGAAAGGGGGAACAGGAGGGAGGAGGAAAAATGAACGTTGGGTCAAGTTCTTCAAGTTGTGCCCTTCTTGTGTAATGCTATAAGAAGAAACATTTCTGACTGGGTCCCCAGAAGGAAATGATCCTGGCAGATCCAGCTGAATTCAGAATCCCTTATAGAGGTGGGGGCAATCAGGCTCCTGCGGATCCCCTGTTGTGGAAACCATCAAAGTTCAGCTATAGAAACCTGTTTCAAAGAAGGAGTGAATTTCTATGAAGTCCTCATGTTCTCAGCCAAAAGAAAGAAGGAAGGAAAGAAAGAAAGAAGAGAAAGAGAAGGAAGGAAGGAAGGAAGAGAAAGAGAAGGAAGGAGGGAAAGAAGGAAAGAAGAGAAAAGAAGGAAGGAAGGAAAAAAAGAAAGAAAGAAAGAGGGAAGGAAAGGAAGAAAAGTAAACCAGAAATGAAGGAAAGAAGGAAGGAAGAGAAAGAGAAGGAAGGAGGGAAAGAAGGAGGGAGGGAGGAAAGAAGAGAAAGAGAAGGAAGGAAGAAAAGAAGAAAAGGGAGGGAAGAAAAATAAACCAGGAAGGAAGGACAGAAGGAAAGAAGAGAAAGAGAAGAAAGGAAAGAAAGAAAGAAAGAAAGAAAGAAAGAAAGAAAGAAAGAAAGAAAGAAAGAAAGGAGAAGAGAAGGAAGGAAGGAAGCAAGGAAGGAGAGAGGAAGGAGAAGAATGAAGGGATGGAAGGAGAGAGAGAGGAAGCAAGGAAGGAGGGAGGGAGGAAGGAAGGAAAGAAGGTTTTCTATGGCACTATCACAATCTGTTTTCCCAAGAGGGAAGTACCTGGAAGGTAGACAAGGAAATGACCCCCTGCAAGGGTATAAGCCAACCTCCATCTGTCTTTAATGGTTTTAGAGCCCCCATCCTCACTTTCTGGACCAGAACTGGCAGTGTTAACTCCAGCAAAGCATAAATGCAAAACCACCAGTCCTGCTTTCACTCACAAGGCCATCAGAAGGCTCATAATTTCTTCCTTCCTTCCTTTTTTTTTTTTTTTTTAACAGCCAAGAGGGGCGAAGACCCAACTCAGGAAAGAGAAGAGAAGACGTTCAGCCTCTGGCCACCACCACGACTCTTGAAATGATTAGGAAGGGAGGGTGGGAAATCAAAACTTTGAGGTATATGAACTGTGAAATTAAATCGAAATACTCAAATAAGGAATCTTATAACAACATAAGCAAAGATGTTTACCAGGGCTTGAAGTTAAATACAGATTTTTTTTCCCCCCGTACAGCCCAAATACAAATCTGCAATAAAGAATGTTAAATATAATTTACAAGTGGGAGGGAACAGGTAAGAGGGGGAAAAAAAGGAGTTTCTAGCTGTTGTAAACCTGTAGTTCTGGGACAAAGAAATTAGGAAAGCTGTCCGGACCCACTCTGCACAAATTGGTTTTCCATGTTGCTTCTTTCTTTTCCTTTGAAACATCTTCAGGATTTCGTTCGCTAGATTATAAAATTCCCTCCGTGTCTCGTCAAGGAGAGCTAATGAATGAAGTGGCAGCCAAACCAAGGATTCCAGGAGCCTCTTTCCTTGGTAGAAGAAGGGAGAATTGATGGGCGAGAAGAAGCACCTTGATCTGATGGCCCATGTCCAGCAAGATGATGTCTCTCTCAACACCAGGTGTTGAAGAAAAAGATGGAAGAGGACGAAGGAGGACTCCTTGCAAACACCTGAAACTAGAAATAGGTTTCTCTAGCAAATTTCCTATTGCTTCGCCATTAAAATTGGCTTCAGTCCCACTGGGGACCGTGAAAAACAGCCTTGGGAGTCTCCTCGCAGCTTCTGTTCTCTACCGTTGCTTAATTATGACATGGTTTTATTGTACCTCGTTTCATATTAATTACCCACTCATGCTGTTGTTGTCGTCTTCATTATAAAATTGCCTTTTGCTGTATTATTTGCTATTTCGGTTACCCGGTTTTTCCTCCAAAGAAGGTAGGAGGAGGCAAAACACCCTTAAGTTCTCCTCCTCTTTTCATCCTGACAACTTCACGAGGCAGATCCAAGCAAGACACCAGGAATGGTGCAAGAGTTGAGCTTTGTGGCCAAGGAGGGAATGCAAACCTTCTATTAGCAGGTCCAGGTGAACAATACGGAGAGGTATGAGTTGCTAAGGTGGAGAGATACAAGTGGAGAAAACCAATAATGGAAACGCTGTGTAGTCAACCAGTAGTTGCAAAGGTTGGTCTTATAATGCTGAACGAGAACACAAGTCAAGATAGACCCCTCATTCCTGAGAAGGCCGGAGCTGATTCTTGACAATCCTAGGAAAAAGAAGATGGAAGACATCCTAGTCAACACACAAAGCCATCTGAGATGACCTTGCAATAGCAGACTGTCCTCCACACCTTTGGAGGAATTCTGGGTGTTGTAGTCCCCACATGTTTAGAAGGCGCCTGATTTAAGACAGCCAACATCTACTGCATCCAAATTCACGTCCAGCTGATGGCAAGGAGAAAAGGGTTAGAGTTTGGGGAGTGCCCCCCCCCTCCAAATTTGATCACAGTCTGGTTTCAAAAGCCCCCATCCCCAGGGACACAGCCGAGAATCCTTTGTGCTATCAAATCCCAGGTGCATTACGTGCCAAGCCGAATTTGAGTTTACAATTTGGGATTAAAATAAATCCGAGTCTTTTTCTGCATGCCTGCTCGACTCTCCGGCTCCCGGAGACTGCTGGGTAAACTGCCTATTATCCGGCGGTTCCGCTCCGGTGGGTTCCCCAATAAAACTTTTCATATCCTTATAAACGAACTCGATTGCCATGTTATAAACATTTACACTGTGCTAACAGATCATCTCCGCACATCAGAATTGGCTAAATTCCCTTTTCCAGATGAATATATTGGAAGAGATTAGAGATATGATAGCTTTTCAAATTGCTGAACCCAGAGAAATTAGTTTAGTGAGCATTTACAGAGGCTAAATTGGAACCATTAAATAGTGGATTAAATTGATGGTACTTTCCATTGTCTATCCTTCGGTACTGCTGTAAAATCAATTAGCCGTCACTATTCCATTCTCCATATAGTGAGATTGTCAGTCGGCAAGGAGCTGGAGAAATTCACAGCAGTGGCAACCAGTGTGAAAATACACCTATTAGGTGATGTGGCATGAAATAATATCACAGGGCAGAAGGCCCGGTGAGATTTATCCTCGCCTTATCTCGACTTCAACCGAGAGAGGACAGACAATAGTTTTGAGTTGACACTCATCTACTCGCTACATGGATAGACAACGATGCTTCTCCGGCTGACAATTGTAGTGACATCCCTTTCTGCCTCTCCCCCGCCCAGTTTGGTGGGGTTGTTTTTTTTTTTTTTTTTTTTGACAGATAAATAAATAAAAACAAAGCAGAACCCTGTCCGTAATGTTATTCACTGGGATTTGCCGGGTTTGCATGATTACGGAGGCACACACCCACACAAACACGGAGTTTGGTGGCTCAAGAAATGCAAAGGAAAACCGCATTTGCTGAGTCTGGCAATGGGCAATGGAAGCCTCCCCAGTAAATATTAATTATTTCCCCCTGGGCTGAGGGTGTCGCACAGATGGGTCATTCACCTGGAAACATCTCAAGGTGGACAGGGAAGGTGAACTGGAAGAATAGCAATAGCACTTAGACTTATATACAGCTTCCCAGTGCTTCACAGCCCTCTCTAAGCGGTTTACAGAGTCAGCCTCTTGCCCCCAACCATCTGAATCCTCATTTTATAGATGTTGGAAGGATGGAAGGCTGAGTCAAGTTTGAGTCGGTCGGGATCGAACTCTTGGCAGTGGGCAGAATCAGGCTGCAATACTGCATTCTAACCACTGTGGAAGGAAGGAAGGAAGGAAGGAAGGAAGGAAGGAAGGAAGGAAGGAAGGAAGGAAGGAAGGAAGGAAGGAAGGAATAGCAATAGCACTTAGACTTATATATTGCTTAACAGTGCTTCACATCCCTCTCTAAGCGGTTTACAGAGTCAGCCTCTTGCCCCCAACAATCCAGGTCCTCATTTTACAGATGTTGGAAGGATGGAAGGCTGAGTCAACCTTGAAGAATGTGGAAGGAAGGAAGGAAGGAAGGAAGGAAGGAAGGAAGGAAGGAAGGAAGGAAGGGCAATAGCAATAGCACTTAGACTTATATACTGCTTCACAGTTCTTCGCAGCCTTCTCTAAGTGGTTTACAGAGTCAGCCTCTTGCCCCCAACAATCTGGGTCCTCATTTTACCCACCTCGGAAGGATGGAAGGCTGAGTCAACCTTGAAGAATGTCCATTTTGCTCTCCAGATTCATGGAGATCTAACCCTAAGTAGGTTTGCTCCCCAATGGGATTTTCCCATGTATTTTACCAGGAAACCTAGATAAGGTGAACTCGAAAAGTAAGAGCCCTCCTGAGCGTACTGATGTGCTATGAATCCATTTGTGATGTCCATTTTGCTCTCGAGAAAAGAATATTTGTTGCTCAGGATCGAACTGTGGTTTGCATTGTCATTGTTGGTGGGAATGTCCTTCATGGTTCCTAGATTAGTCTTCTGTTTACTGGAACCACCAAAGAACCACAACAAGGATGCTTCCACCAACACTGACAGGGAAAGTCACGGTAAATAAACAGAAGGCAAACCCCCACTCCTTCTAGCACTGATGGTGTTACCAAGTTGGGTCATGAAACGTCTGCAAGAAAACAACCAAGCTCAGAGAGCATCAAGGACCCCACAGTCGTCCCCTCCCTCCTCCTCCTCCTCCTCCTCTCCTTTTCTGCAAACTCCCATTCCCTTTCAGCACTGATGATGTTACCTATCTGGGTCATGAAACGTCTGCAAGAAAACAACCAAGCTCAGAGAGCACCAAGGACCTCATGGTCCTCCTCCCCCTCTCCCTCCCCCTCCCCCTCCTCCTCCTCCTCCTCCTCCTCCTCCTCCTCCTCCTCCTCCTCCTCTGCACTGATGATGTTACCTATCTGGGTCATGGAACATCTGCAAGATAACAACCAAGCTCAGAGAGTACCACAGTTCAATCCTGAGCAACAACCGTCTTCTTCTATCAGTACAGTTGCTTCCACATGGTCCTTCTATGATGGCCACCGAACTGGGAAATCCAAGGAACTGTAAATGTAGTGGTAGGTAGGTAGGCTTGTTCTGCCGCGCATCATCTCAAGTCTTACTATTGCTTTCCTATTGCTTCCCACCTTCACCGAGGAGGAAAAAACCTAGGTGTTCCTGAATTATGGCCACCGGGCACCCCGCAGACACCTCCTTCCTCCCTGGCGGGAGTTCTGCTCCCTCAATCAATGGAGAACTACAGCAAGATCTATCTTCTCACTTCCCGGTTCTCCTCCATCCATCATCATTATCGCTCTTCCTCCTGATATGCCACGAGAGCCCGCCATGATACTCGACTGGCATTCACATAATTGCCGGACTTCAACATCTCTGTCCCTTTGCAAACCTTTTGTGACATGCAGTGGCGCCATTCTCATTGTGCGGTGTCACCCGGCAGATCCGGGTGCCACGAGACTTGAACTCTTTGACAATTTTGCAGTTGTGGGAGTGGAGGGGGAAGGAGGCCCCTTTCTTCTGGCCAAAAGTGAAGGAGAAAAACCACACGTCATCCTAAAACAGGTCAAACTTTTACATTACCTTTCACTTCCCTTAGCTTAGAGATCTGCTAAAGAGCCCAAATGCAACTTTTAAACTTTTCCAGTTTAAAACCTATTCCTTTGGGGGGCGGGTTGCATTGAGAAGAATTGGTTAACGGTGTAATTTATGGTTGCTTCTTATTCAGGTTTTCACTGAGTTGTGGGTCTTTAGGACTCCAAGACATCATTTCACTGGGATTTTCTTTCAGAAACCACCTTTGACTTTTCTTGTGGGCCCCTTGCTTCAATGTCTTTAGTGTCCTGTCCACTTGTCTTCTGCTTTTTGAAGTCAAAAACATGACCTTGTGTTTGTTGGCAAACTACCTCTTCCCCCTTTTTATTAACTGTGTAAAGTTAAATAAAATGACCACTATTTTATAACCAGAAGTTTCTTAATATCAGGAAGTTTCTGAAAATGTTGCACTTTGAGATGTTATTTATATTTATTGAAGACCGGATGCCTCTTTAAAATGAAAAAAAAAAAAGAATTTGTGATTTATGGTTTCGATGACTGGATAGGATACTTACAGAAAGAAGAGTAATTGTATGTCACGCAAGAGAAGCAGAAATTAAAATATATTTGTGTTTACAGCTGCGATGAAGAATATCGGAAGCCGCTATCTCTTTCTTCTTTTCTATATTTCTTCAACCTTTTTTTTCTTTTCTTGCCCTTGTGAGATTGTTTTAACATTAGCTTTTTTGCTTCCTCTAAAACATTCTTCCTCTATGTTCACACATAAGGGCTATGTCTGTTAACTACACAACCTTGCAATTTATATCTCTCTCCCTTCTCCACTCCAATTTTCTAATTTCTCCACAATGGCACGTTTTTATTTTTTGCTCCTCCTTCATTGGAAAAAAGCAATATTTGATCTCCAGCATATCCTTTTCTGGTTCAAAGCTGGGTTACTGAGCTATGGAAGGCTGTCCGGAGAAATTATTCACCAGTTGTCGAGTCACAATAGCGTTGGCCGGGGGGGGAGGGGGGAATTAGCTGGGGATCTCCAAGGCAATGGCTCTTTCTGCTTTTCTTTCTGGAGATACCAAGATTCGTGAACAATTAATTCTTGGTTACTAAACTCTGCCAATAAAACAGCTGTCAGCTGCTGTCCTGGTGAGGAGCTGTTTAATATCCCAAGAGAGGATAATTATTCTTATCTGATTTGGC